TGAATTCTGTGCAGTTTACTTTGGATCCTAAGGACACATAGATGCTGAACTAATGAAAACTAATAACATTTTTTCATATCGGATTTTGTTGAGTAGGTGAATTATCAGAAGCTAGATGATTAACACTACATAGCTGGGGGGAGGGGGTGCATCTTAAGATTGCAGTATCTTCTACAATAGCACAATAATTCACCCACACACCTTAATGTCAGTTAACAACATAGTCCAGCCCTGGGATGGTTCTGCATTTTCAGGAATGATATAGCAGACAAATGTCTATCACTGGTCATCACCTACATGGAAGTTTTTGTTTTTAAAGCAAGGGTAATGAACACATCAGACAGCAGACAAAACACTACTTTTTCCAGATTAACTCTTTACCATCATAGGCCATTCCTTACCATCTAATAACTACTATGAGGTGAGGCACCACTATACATAAGATGGCAAAAAATAACTGCAGGCATTACCACTGTACAACTATCATCCAATGCCAAACCAGAAGCAGCTGCAATGTTAGTTTTCTTCAAATCTGTTTTCTGACAACTTAAAGGTAATATATAACAGAGCACCATTCATTATAGATTTTGGCTCACAGAATAGAGCACAAGTTGTACTGTACAGAATTGGAATTATCTGGTACTTTTTTCTTCTCACCCTTGTTCCAAAAGCAGCATTAAACAAGTGGTTTATCTTGCAGAAAGATTAGGCACTTAACGTTTCTGAAATCACAGATAACCCAACATGAGAAGACGTAAGTATACAAGAAGTTCACATCTGCAGCTTTAAAACACCAACTTGAAAAGCAGCAAGAGCCACCCCTCACCTTGATTCTGCTGACAGCCTCTTGTGCCTGCATCATTCTCACGTTCTTGGAGGGAGTTTTGTCAGAAAGGAGTTGAGTGGAGCCAAGGTAATTGGCAGCAAAAATGATTCCATCAATTAAGTCTTCAGGATCACAAGGTCCAGGAACTACAAACACAGGGGGGAAAAAAATCACATTAAATCACATTAAACCATGGTAAGAAAACAGTACTCTGACTACTTGAGCCTGTACCTGAGAGCTGTAAATGCTCCTCTGAACTACTTCACTTTAGCATGATGGCACAACAACCAATACTTTCAATCAAGGCATACAAAACACTGAGCATGTGTTCTCAACATCTCTCCAGCAGAAACTAATTGCTAATTCAACCTCTCACAATAGTTCATTCCCCTATGAGGCAGGGTTCACTCTAGAGCAAAATAACCTGTATGTATCTCTTACAAAGAAACAGGAATACTTAAATTGCTCTCTCACCACTATCAATAGCCTTGTAATCCTGACTAAGATAAACATATTACTGTTTAGACATGGTCACAAATATAAAGAGGGCTGGGAAGGGCAAGGGCTCTTGTGTTGCAAAAAGCTACTTAGTCCTGCAAGATACTTAATGACTTCAATTCTCATCAACTTCTGTGTAAAGTTAAAGGGCGATGAGGTATATATCATCTCAAAAGTTAAGTCCTTACAGAGCAACATGTATAAACTGCAGGTTTTCAGGTGTTTGGGGATTACATCTACAGAAGACTGGACTTTTCTCTCTATATGTTAAAATTCTCATGATCTGAGAAAAAAGGAAGGTTTATGCAAGAAGCTTCTTGTTTTGCTACAAGAAAAAAAAATCTTTGTTCAAGGCCAGTAAAAATGTACAGGTAATTTTCATTTGAGAGAAAACTATTGGTAAAATTGTATATATTTTATCAAAAGTATAAACTGTTTTTGCTCTCTATTTTGCTAGGAACTGATGCTTTTAGAACAGAGTTTTTAATTGACTCAAGGATTAGTCCGAGATTTAAGAGGTGCTAAAGTTGAACATAATGCAAAAAAAAAAAGCCAATTGTGTACTAATTCACCAAAGAAGAGATTAACAAGCACTGAGAATGACTATAACTTAATCCCCCAAAGAATATAAGTCATTATTAAGTTAAAAAAATATATAGTAGCTGGAGCTAAATCTTAATCACACTCATAACATACATTCAGATATGAGTACATACACAAACTTTATCATGAAGCTTTCCCACTTTATGTTTTTTTTAGAGATGAAAGTTTATGACTAGTGATTTTGAGGTACCTTGAGTGTGTTAAATCTGTTCAAATACTACACATCTGGACACCCAAAAAATGCAGGTAATTATGATCACTAGTCACTTTCAAGAACGAAACCCAATGAATAGAATTTTTCCCTTAGTGAGACTTTCATACTGTTAGGGCTGCAGGCCGCTGACTAGGCCCTGGCCTGAGGTTCAGCTAACTGAACAGGACGTGGCAAACTACTGGACATGACAGGAGAAATTGCTCGATGTGACAGACAACAGAGGGAGAAGCTGGCAGAAGTTACAGGCAGTGCTGTGAGGGATAGTTGGATTTCACAGGTGGTTTTGGGGGAGCAATGTGAGAGATGGCCATACTTCACAGACACCTGACGGGGAGCACTGGAGGCCTTTTGGGGAGCGGAACCCTGCAAGGCCACCAGTGCCTGGGCAACCATATCAGTAACAGCATATCAGGCCACGAGTGCCTAGGGACTGGTACCAGAAATACCAAATTTGGGTATGGACATAGCAAAACTGGGACCAGTGGGGAAGAAGTAATTAGGGGTGGGTTGTTTATTTGGGAGGAAACCGGGGCAGAGAAAGGAAGGTACAAGGGTGGCAAAAAGGAGGGCCAAGAAATGGGAAAATGGAGGCAAATTGTGATCAGTGCTGTTTGCAGGTCCCTGCTGGGCAACCCTGCACTTGCTCACTACAGCCTAAATCAGGACAATCAACCAAACCTGTTCTGACCATGCCACACATGTCAAACCTGCTTCCACAGTCAGGAGGACTAGGGAGTGCTTTAGTTGACTAGCAGATTGAGCATCCTGTTATCACTGTGTTGGTGCATGTTCCAGGCCTGATGACATTGGCATCTTACCAACTCCTTCCTGACACACAGCATCTAGAAGTGCTACATATTTACATATTATTTCAAGGCTCAAGCCCTGACTCTATATGTCTATATTCTATACACGAAGGCCTTATCACCACTTCAATTACCAAACTCTTTATACTATAGTTCTTGATCAAAACACAAAATCCTAAACATAAGGTGAAAAGGGTACAGATAAGACAGGAAGGAAGCATATTCAAAAGGGAAAAGGAACATGTTTTATTTTCATGAGATGTGAACATACATGCAGAACAACAGTACTGTTTTTCACAAGCCCTCCTCCATGCGTTATGTCAGTTATCTGTTGAATAAAAGCGTAGTGCAGGTGTTTGAAAGTTTTTCCTCAGACTATCAATTCCCTGCATAAAAATAGAGTTCAGTGTTTTAAGCAACTGCCCACTGGACCAATATCTCAGAATGCTAAAGGGTTTTTTTTGGGGGGAGGGGGGGCACTTTAAGATGGCCCTTCAAAGAGAGGCCTGCCTACTGTAGATAAATTTTAAATCTGAGACAGATCCTTCATTGGTTTAAATTTCTAAACCTCAGCTAGTTTCAAAGCAATCCATGTAATTTATACCAGTTCATCTGGTCACAGGTTCTAAAATATACAACATATACTTTAAAGACTAAACCAGTGATAAATGTTACAGTCTAAAGACAATGATCATATAATCTTTTATATACAGTACACTGTAAAGCAATCAAGGAATTCCAGAACATTCCAACTGAAATATGACATCAGCTTCCATTTTTGCCATTTTCTAAAGCATAAGGCTCAATTACTTTCAGGGAACTTAGAATTTTCAGTTTCTATCATGCTGCTATAACTAAATCCATCTAGTTGTGTTTTATGGCATGCAATCTTTATGAGTACACAGAACTGAGTATTAGCTCAAATAGTGGGTGATTTTTTTTTCATAAGATTAGCACTAGTAGAAGCGCAACATTAACTCTGAGACAGGAAATGTTATTTAATCAGAGGACAAGTACCTGAAAAGCAGTGCAAGTTTCTTCCTACTTGCCTGTCAATTAAATCTCAATTTTGTAGAGATAATTATGATCATTTTGTCTAACCTCTATTCCTTATCAGAGAACAAATCACTCTCCACACACATCCACATGTATTATGAATTCCATTTTTTTTTAATCTGTGCTTTAAGTGATATTGATAATAACCAAGAAGAACTGGAGCAGAAGCCATCAATAAAACATTACGAAATAAGAGATATTTTTCTCAACTTCTTTCTCAACTCCTACTAGAATTTGTTTAATTCAAGTTCCAGATTGCACCCAGCTTAACCTAAATCATTTCACCCAACCCTAGCAAGTTTTCTATTGTGTATATAAAAAATACAATTCTATACATTATAAACATTAGAATTCTTCATATAATGAAAAAATATTGAAGTTATGAAATATATCTTACCTTCGACATATGTTGGGAATGAAGCCAAGCTTTTTCTGAACTGTAATCAAGACAAACAGGATTTCAAACAGAACAAAGTATGTTTAAATATACATTAAAAATTCCTCCATAAAAATGAAATCACAGTGATAGTTATTAGCAAAAGAAGATGACAGTTTATTGGGAAAATATTTAATGTTTTCAAACTCTGACCAATTATTAGAGGGTTATTATCCCTAAGTATAGCATATTCCATTAACATGCTCATCAATCAAGCAACATGCTACATTCAGTTTCCAGTTAGTTCTTGGTGTTTGGCAGTATACTTCCTGACTACTTATTAGTGCTGTGCTCTCTTTAACAAATAGAAACACAGAAAAATACATCCTCTCTCAAATCTGCTGACTTCCCAAGTAAAAACAAATACATCTAGAGATATTTAAAATGGACTAATAACGTTGTTATTCATGACAAAAAGCACTGACCTAGTCAATTAATTATGAACTAAATTTTATTACTTATTAGGATTATTCTTAGATATGTTCCCTATGTTAGTACAACCTACATACAACCTTCCAAATTTGGACAGGCTACGTAACAACCTATATCCTCTTGGGTAAATCCATTTAATAACATTTCTACACTGATTATGTTTATGCTGTAACAAGCGCAAAAGCACATACGTGCCTGATTTAGATAACGAAAATTGCAAGCAAGGCATTTATTCTTTGATTTTTTTCTTACTTAAACAAGCAAGTAAAGTCTCAATTTCATAAAAGGTGCATTAATGGAAAAAAAATCTGTCCTACATTTGTAAACACACAGACTAAAATAATACCTCATTTCCAGTTGTAACTTTCTATGAAAGGCTCTGTGGTGACAATATAACCATCTGGTAATTATAACTTCAGTGAGACTCACCATTCTGTTACATTCAACAATATATCTGTATGGGAAAATTTATTAAAGACAACTTTGTGTGTCAAAACATATGGTAATAGGTATAATGAAGCATATGCTGCTATTAAACCTTTTTGAAACAAGAAATTTGGATAAGCTAAGCATTAAAAAATGTTGATGAACCTGAACCTCATTCTACAATGGATTAAACTGGGATCAACTCCTCAGTACAGTTATATTAAAACAAGATCCATGTATAAACAGGATAAAACCCAGTGTCTCAGACGAGGTTCAGTTGTGTTTACACACACACATATATACTAAGTTGTTTTCCTTTATGATAGGTAGCTGAACAGGTTCTGTACATTTGTGACAAAAAATAAATCACTCAGGAAGGTGCATATTTGTGTGACAGGTAAATGACTAATCCAGTGAGTCTTTTCCATTTATTATTAGAAGGATGTGAGAAATAAGTAATATTTTTCAACCTACTACACTGGCTTCACTATAAAATGGCAGAAAAAACAAAAGGTGCATGAAACAGAAAACAGAGCCTAGACAACCTTAATATACTTGGCCTTTCCTCATGAAAATGACTGAGTTGTACAGCAAAACCAAGAAAGCTCTTCTCAGAGAAGATACCAACAGAAAGAAAGTTGTGACTAAGTAATGACCTCCTGCTGTCAAAGTGCTTAAGGGAAATCAAGAGAGAGGACACAAGCATTTGTTTTCAAATCAAGAGTGGCTGCTCTGTGGCTATTCTATCTGTTGTGATGACTTTATTTTTACTGCACCAGCTATACAGACTTCAATAACCGCATGTAATTGCTGCTACTGTGGTGCTAACATAGAATGAACTACCTGGACTCTGACAAGCCTAGAGAACAAAACAACTGTACACTTCAGAAAAAAATCAGAGGCAGCTGAGATGTTTTGAAAAGGATAAATATGTGGATAATTTTTTTAAACAGACTCAAGGCCTAAACCAAAGTTTACCTATCTAATTACAGGTTTGACAACTATTCAGCAATCTGGCTAGCTGATAAAACTTCCTTTCAGGATAAAGCTGTGTAAGCTAACATCAAATTAATGCTTTAATTTCAAAAGCTCTACATAGACTCAGACTTCTGAGTAAGAAGTCGAGCAAAGCGGGCAGGAGACCTGCATGGATGAGCAAGGAACTCCTGGCAAAACTCCAACAGAAGAAGGAAGTACACAGAATGTGGAAAAGGGGACAGGCCACTTGGGAGGAATACAGGGACATTGTCAGAGTGTGCAGGGATGCGACAAGGAAGGCTAAGGCCCATTTGGAATTAAATCTGGCAAGGGATGTCAAGGACAACAAGAAGGGCTTCTTCAAATACATCAATAGCAAAAGGAAGACTAGGGAAAACGTGGGCCCACTGCTGAATGGGGTGGGTGCCCTGGTGACAAAGGATACAGAGAAGGCAGAGTTGCTGAATGCCTTCTTTGCTTCAGTCTTCACTGCTAAGGCCAGTCCTCAGGAATTCCAGACCCTGGGGACAAGAGAGGA